GACTAGGACAGAGTGTGACTGCTGGCTACTTGAGACAGAGAGATCAAGAAAGACCTCTCTGATTAGGTGACATTTGAACAGAAACCTGAATGACAAGCAATCAGCCATGTGAAAATCCTGGATCAGCAAACCCTGATAGACATCAGTATTTGGGACTCCTCTTTAACTGGGAAACATTCAGTCATTTTACATATTTAGAGCTAGAGGAAGGCGCTTGAAGATCCCTTATTGTACATTTCTCTCTCTAGTATTTTACTGGTGACCACAGAGTAATTGGTATTTTGATACATTCCGATAAGGCATCACATTCAGCTATTTTTCCTTCTTGAATATTTTACCAAGCACCCTGCACAGGGATATTAATACATCATGTAGAATCTCTGAACTTATAGGCTCATCTCATCCTCAGGGACACCCCCTTTTAGACCCCAGGTTAGCAGAGCTTTTTAAAAAATTATTTCAAAATAATTATAGATTTATAGAAACTTGCAAAACAAATTTACAGGGAGGTCCCATGCACCTTTCACCCAGTTTCTCCCAAGGGTAAACATCTTGCCTAAGTATAGTGCAGTATCATAACCAGGAAATAGAAACATCGGTACCATCCATGGAGCTTATTCGGATTTCTCCAATTTTATATGGATCCATTTGTGTGTGTGTGTGTATACGGTTTCATGCAATTTTATGTAACAACTGCCACAATCAAGATACAGAAGTTTCATAAACACAAGGCTCCTTCCTGCTATCCATTTGTAGCCATGTCCATCCCTCTTCTCCATACCTAACCTTTGGCATTTGCTAATCTGTTCTCTATCTCTATAATTTTATTTCAAGAATGTTTTATAAATAAAATCACAGTTTTAACTCAGCATAATTCCCCTGAGATCCATCCAAGTTGTTCCATGTATTGATAGTTCATTCCTTTTTGTTGGTGCATAGTATTCCGTGGTGTGAATGTACTACATACAGTTTAACCATTCAGCTGTTGAAATACAGTTGGGTTGTTTCCAGTTTTTGCCTATTATGAATAAGGCTGCTATGAACATTCAAGTACAAGTTTTTGTGTGAACTCAGGTTTAAATGTAAACCTCTGGGCTAAATGTCCAGGAGTACAATTGCTGGTTCATATGGTAGGTTCACGTTTAGTTTTTCTTTTTAGAAATTGCCAAACTATTTTCCAGAGTGGCTGTACCATCTCACAGTCCTACCACTAATGCATAAATGATCCATTTTCTGTGCATCCTCACCACCATTTGGTGTTATCACTTTTTCTTTTTTATAGCCATTCTGACAGGTATGCAGTGATTATCTCATTTTGGTTTTAACTTTCATTTCTCCAATGGCTGATGATGTGGAACATATTTTCATATGCTTACCTGCCATCTGTATATTCTCTTCAGAAAAGGTCTGTTCACGTCTTTTGGCTGGCTTTGAGTTCACATGCATCTCTATATCAATTCTCCACCAGGGTTGTGACCCTGCTCACAAACTTCAGTTAGCTCTAATTCTAGGGAGAAAAATTCATCCATGTGCATATATAGTTTCATCCAAGAGTTAGAAGGGAATATACAATATAATAACATTTCTAATACATCTCCCTTCACTGGTTTAGAGGAACAAATTAAGTTTATATCTTATTTTTTAATGTTCCAAGTGTACAGCTAGTTGAATGTAATGAAACTCAATTTCCTTGTTTCAAAATTTGCAAAGCTGATTTTCTTTAGACTAAAAGTATTTCAATTAGTATGAATAAGAGAAGTTTTGTTATAGTTGGTTTGTAGTAATCTTCTTACTCTATTTAAACAGCTTTCTTGTTTGGGGAAAAGATACATGCTTACTGTAAAAAAAAAAATCAAACTTGAAAGAACAGAGAAAATACACATTACCAAATGCCTCATCATCTAGAGGTAATCACTGTTTACATTTGGTGAGTATACGTCTAGATTTCTTCTGTATATATATGCTCTGCACATTTAAAACATGTCCACAATTTATATAATTGGTATGATACTATTCTGAACCTCATTTCTCACGAGCATATATTACTGACTTCCTTCCATATTAGTATAGATCTTCATTATAATTTTTAAAGAGTGCATAGTAAGCCACTGTGTGTGCATATATGTGTATGTGTGTTTACTTAACCATCTTCCCTATTATTTGGTATTTAGATTGTTTCCAATTTTTTGCTATTATAAACAATGCTTTAATGAATGTACTGTGGGGAAAGCTTTTTGAATTTTCATAATTATTTTCTTAGAGTAAATCTCTAGAAGTGGTATTGCTGAGTCACAAGTCATATACACATGTATATATGTGTGTATATATACCTATATGTCAGCTTTTGGATGTTTACAAACTGCCGTTTGGAAAGATTGTGTCCATTTACATTTTCACCTCCACTGCCTAAGATTCTTGTAAGTTTCTCAACCTTTTGTTCCTGTTTCCCTTCCAACAAATTTCTCTCTCTTATTTTTTTTAACAATGGGAACACAAATCCAAATAACTTTCTTTTTCATCATTTTAAAATGGTTACATGAGATACGAGCACAGGGCTTTGTGAAGCTGTGTCAGGAAAAGTCGTCCTGTAAAATGGCTATCTTTTAGACCTGTTCCTCCAGGACACCTTTCATGAACGGGGTCTGCTTCAACGGCTTTGTATCTAGCCATGTAGCCTGCCACCACAATGCTGACCTCACATGGGGAATGATAAGGACAAGCAACACAAAAGACATTTACTTGTGGACAGAGGAATTAAGATTAGGAGAAAAAAATGTCCAAGATTACTACCAGTATGCCAAAACTTCAAAGATGGAAAGCTGTGGCACGTAAACTAAGGATAAGACAGCAAGTCCTACTTGTACAGTTAGAGATTTATTGTACAATTGGATGATATTGCAGTTTGGGGTCACTCGAATTTGTTTTTTCATTTGATCAAACAACGAAGTACAGCATTTTAATTATGATCTGGAGAAAAAACGCCTTACACTGACTTATTCCCCAATCTGAAACTTGAACATTCTTTTTGGTAGTCTTTGGGCTTATTTTTCAAGGCCCAACAGATATTTAGTTTAATGGCTTAACAGTGTACCTATCTTTTACATGATGACATTAATATACTTTTGCTTATAAACTTCCTCAGATGGATTAAGCAATACAAGGACTGAAGGCAAAATTGTATCTTTTAGTAATTAGGAAATATGGATTCATGAGACACCACCTAAAGCTAAATAAGAATTGTTACAATATGCATCATCTTATATATTTCTAACAATTTCTCAGCAGAATTTTTTTTCATTGCTCTTTTTAGCAATTAAATGCTTATACTTGTAAATTTTCAGCAGCACATTTCCTCTTCCCTCAATTCCACAGGATTTGCCTGGATTTTAGAAAACTAGAATGAAATGTTTGCAAGATACTTAAAACATATTCTTGGAGTGAGTTCTGGAAGTTCTTGTATTTAAATTTATGGTGCTAGATATAACAGTGGAATTTTTGTAGCTACTGTATACCTGGCTTCTTCTTAATAATAGTACAGTAGCAAAATATCACATCAGATAGGGTTCTCCCTTTTCTGGGTATTTTAGCCTCTATTCGTTTCTCTGTACTGGTATTCTGAGGTAGATTTCCAACATCGTCAGGCAAATGCAAGAGGAGCAGGTGGGGTGGTGGAGTGGAGTCAGAAGTGCCAGGTTCCAGCTCTGTTTCTGCGGAGCACTAGTGGTGTGACCTTGGACAAATCCCTAACATCTCAGCTTCATTATCTTTAAGACCAAGAGATTGAACTGACGACCCAATAAAGGAACTTCAAATATGAAATTATATAAAAATAACTTACAAACTCATGTAAAATAAGACTTTACTGTTTCGCCAGGCATTCTACTTACAAAGGCAAATCGTAAAAAATTTGGGTGACTATGCACAAAAAGTACTAAAATGAGACAGGAATTAACAGAAAGTCATCAGAGACATTATTCATTTGCCATACAAAAAGTTCAAAGAACACCCCTACATCTTAAATCCTTAAATTATAGTTCTCCGAACTTCACACCCAACTTCTCTGTGATCTCAGGCCTTTGGCCCTAGCTCTACATAAGACCAAACGTGGGTGGGAGAAGGGCTGAAGGCTCTGATTTGTATCTATTTTAGGGCAGTCTTTCCGAGAAGGCTGCAGGGTTGCGAGTCTAGGTCTGGCAGTATTTCTTGGAGGGCGCTCAGCAGTTTCCTAACCGGCTGACTCGCTAACTCCGAATCTGAAGGGCTCTCTATAGAATGCAAGGCGGCTCCGTGTAAATACCTTGACCAAAAAAGAGTGCCATCCCAGACGCAGGGAACGGGGCGTGGAACTGCAGCCCGGAGTTGACTCTTCACTCCTCCTCCCCGCCCGGAGCAACCGGGGAAATCGAGTCACCACGGCGCGTCCTCGCCCTGCGCACGGAGGCCCGAGCAGAGCGGTTACAGGCGGCCGCCCCAGGAGCCCTGCCCCCCCAGCTTTTAATAATGGGGGAGTGCTCCCTGGGACGCCCCTGGGGCCTAACATAGAAGGGACGGGAATCCGCCCACGCCTCATGAAAGGCGAGACCCCCCCCCCCCGCCCGCGTGAGGGGCTCGTCTCCTCGGCTGGGGGAGGGGCGTTCCCGGCTGGGCATAACCGCCGCGCCCCGCCCCCGGCGCCGGTCAGAACCCTGGTCTGCTGGTGGGGGCAGGGTCGGAAAAACTCTGGCGTCTCCGGACAATTGTCCCGTTGCCGGGCAATAGGGAAGGTGGGGCCGACAGAAAAAAGCAGCCGCACTCCGCCCTCAGGGGGCACGCGTCCCGGAGGCGGCCGCGCAGCCGCGCTCGAGCCCCGTCGGCGGCGCGCTCCGCCCCCACTCTGCAGCCCGCGCTGCGCACGCGTCGCGCGAGCCGCCGCCGCCTTCGCCCCTTGCTGGGCTCGCGGCTGGGCTGCGCTTCCGGCGCGGGTGGCGCCACGGTCGGAGCTGTCCAGGAGCCGGTGACCGAGCCGTCTCGAAGGAGGGGCGGGGGAGGGCAGGCAGGGGAAGAAGGAGCGCGGGGGGCGGCCGGTGTGCCGCCGCTGCTGAGGAACATGGTGTTCGAGTCGGTGGTCGTGGACGTGTTGAACCGGTTTTTGGGGGACTATGTGGTGAACCTCGACACGTCCCAGCTCACTCTGGGCATCTGGGGAGGTAACGAGCCCGCCGCCGCCCCGCACCCTCGCCTCCCTCCCAGCCCTTGGTTGCCGGAGCCGGGGCCTCGGGCCTGTCTCTCGCCCGGCGCCACCACCTGCCGCCGCCCTCCTCGGGGTCAAATTACGTAGAGCCGGGCGGCAGTTCCTGGGCCCACGGCCGCGAGTTATTTTTTGACAGGTGGGGGTGGGGTCGTGGATGCGGGATGGAAAGGCCTCCCCTCTACGAGCCGAGCGGCTGGGGGGACCCGCGGTGGACCCCAAGAGGCAGGAGTTCGCATTCGGCCGAGGCCACATGTCTGCCCCTCGCCCCGAGCGGTCCCGTTCGGCTGTGCTGGGCGTGGGGCGGCGACGAGGCGCACCTGGTCTCGGTCTCATCCCGTCATTTCCTCCGTTGGGTTATGGCTGGGGCCCGGGAGAGCCCACGGCGTGCCCATCGCACGCTGCCTCACACGTGAAGGCAGGCGCTGGGACGGGAGACGCCCTCTTCTTGCTTCCTTCCCCCGCCCCCGTGGGCGGCGAATCCCTGGTGTTTTCTCGGCTCCCCCTGCCGGCCACACCACCTGGACGCCGGGTGGCTCGCCTAGTTTCGGCTGATAACAAAAGGCGAAACTTCTGTGCAGAATAATTCAAATATTGTGTGTTTTCAGTTCACAACCTAACCCAGGAATGTCTCACTTTGTAAGGCTCTAAGGTTTGTGGGTCAGAGTGAATTACTGAATTTTTTAAGAAACTAGGTGTGCTGTGCAACATCTCAGCTGCGAAAGTCAGGGATGGACATGCGCTTGCGTTGCTTAGATGGTGAAGGACCAGCCTTACCGTGTGTCCGTTTGCTCTGGTGCTCTACTTTATTTGGAGCCTCATATTTTAGTGCTTCCATCTGTTTTTATATTATACTCTTATTTATTTTAAACACCTTTTAGAAGTTAGATTCTTTTTCTTTATAAAATGAATCTCCCAGGCTAAAGTTAGGGTTAATTTTTTGTGTGAATAGTATATGTGTGTGTGTGTGCTTGTGTATATATATATATGTAAAACTTAACTATTCTAGACTATGCACACACTTTCAGCCTTCTGAAATACTTGTCTTGATTTTTCTTGTTTATGAAATACTGTAAATAGGTAATTTAGTCTGATAAAGGAAACTTCTTGTTACTGCTTTGGTAGTACCATGATAGAGAGTGAGACTACAAGAAATAGGGACATAAATGCTAGCTCAACATCTCTGACTAGTACCAGACTTGCAGATTGTTTAATCTGTGCTGCTGCTCATTTGCAAAGTAAAAATAATAAAACTTGTCTCCACCTACCTCAGAAGGAAGGCTTGAGAACATTTTGTGATGTGTTTTGATCCATAGTAGAAGGTTGCTTCTACGTTCAAGGTGGAGGTTTGTGTAGAGTGTGATTTATCAACAGATTGGTTTATTTAAAATTTACCAACAGTAAAATTTACTCTTGTGATGTATACAGTTCTGTCTTGACAAATGCAAAGAGGCATGTGTCCACTGACACAATCATGATACAGAAAAGTCCATCAGGACCCCCAAATTCCCTATGCTGCACCTTTGTGGTCCACCCCACCCAAACCCACCCTTCCTCTTGGCAACCGCTGATCTGTTTCCATCCCTACAGATTTGCCTTTTCTAGAGTGCCATATAAATAGAATTATATAGTATGTGGCTTTTGGGGGTCTGGCTTCTTTTACTTAATTTCATTCCTTTCACATCTTATGCAGAATGAATTTGAGAGTCATCCATGTGTTGCATGCATCAGTATTTCCTTCCTCTATTTTTGAGTAGTACTTCATTGTATAGATGTACTCTAAATGTTTGAGTTGACAGGTTGAAGGACATTTCCGTTTTTGGCTTTCATGAGTAGGGCTGCTATAAACATTATGTGCAAGTTTTTGTGTAAACATAGATTTTTATTTCTCTTGGGTAAATACCTAAGAGTGGGATTGTGAGGTCATATAGTGAGTGAATATACAATTTATGTGAAACTATGGAGCTGCTTTTCACAGTGGCTGTACCATTTTGCGATCTCACCAGCGTTGCATGAGTGCTTTGGTGCTCTGCACCATCACTAGCACTTAGTATTGTCATTTAAAAAACTTGTTTTAGCCATTCGAATAGGTATATAGTGATAAAGCATTGTGGTTTTAATTTGCATTTCCTTAGTGGTTAAAGATGTTGAGCATTTCACATTTTTCGTTGCTGTTTGTATATTTCTGTTGCTGAAACATTTGTTCAAATCTTTTGCTCATTTTAGATTGGGTTGTTTCTCTTTTTCTATTGAGATTTCATTCACATACCATTAAATTCACCCTTTTAAAATGTGTAATTCAGTATTTTTTAGGATAGTCACAAAATTGTGCAATTATCACCACTAATTCCAGAACATTTTAAACAGCCTCCAAATAAACCTCATTACCGGTTAGCAGTCACTCCAAATTTGCTCCTAATCGTCCCCGCTCCCCCCAGCCCACCTGCCTGCCTGGCTATGGCAACCACTAGTCTACTTTCTATCTTTATGGATTCATAAATTCTGGGCATTTTATTTAAATGGAATCATGCAATTTTAAATGGAATCATGCAATATATATGGCCTTTTGTTTTTGGCTTCTTTCACTTAACGTATTCTCAAGGTTCATCCACATTGTAGCATGTATCAGTATTTCATTCCTTTTTATGACTGAATAATATTCCGTCATATGGATATAGCACATTTTGTTTATCCATTCATCATTTGATGGGCATTTAAGTTATTCCTACTTTTTGGCTTTTATAAGTAATAGTGCTATGAACATGCATGTCCAAGTTTTTTGTGGGCACATGTTTTAAATTCTCTTGGATATATACCTAGGAGTGGAATTGCTGAGTCATATAGTAACTCTGTTTGACTTGTAAGGAACTACCAAACTCTTTTCCAAAGTGTGTGTTTTCTTATTGTTGAAGGTTGAGAGTCCTTTAAATATTATGTATACAAGTCCTTTGTTAGATATGTGATTTGAAACTATTTTCTCCCAGTCTTTTCCAAGTCTGTCTTTGCAAAGCAAAAGTTTTAAATTTTGATCAAGTCCAGTTCATCAAAAATTTTTTATGAGTCATACTTTTGGTATTGTGTCTATGAAATCTTTCCCTAACTTGAAGTCACAAAGATTTCTCCTATGTTTTCTTTTAGAAGTTTTGTAATTTTATGTTTTGATTTCTGATCCATTTGTTGTAAGATGTGGTAGAGGTTGGAAGTTGAGGTTCATTTGTTAGCATGTGGATGCAAATGTCCAGTTGTTTCAGCACCATTTGCTGAAAAGAATATCCTTTCTCCATTTAATTATCTTTGCACTTTTGTAAAAAAAATCAGTAGACTTTATATTGTGTGGGTTTATTTTTGGGTTGTAATCTGTTTCAGTGATTTGTGTGTCCATCTTTTCATCAGTACCACCCTTGGTAACTGTAGCTTTATGGTAAGTCTCGAAATCAGGTAGTGTGATCCCTCTAACTTTAGTGTTTATCAAATTTTTAAAATAACGTCAGTGTTTCATGTATAGAAGTTGGTTGTATTTTGATAAATGAAGCTTTAATGGCTGGGAATTTAAAAAAAAATCCTTTGAGAATTTAAAAAGCAGTAATTTTTTATAAATTCTAAATTTATAAAATTTGTAAAATTTAAAAATCCTCTAAGGATTTTTAAAAAACAGTCTTTGAAAATTTCAATAATAGAAACTAGATGCTACGTAGGAAAAATGTTAAGATTATGGACTTAATATTTTATGATCTAATGGCAAAAGGGCCTATTAGATTTAAAGGTATGCTTTTGCTAGGCTTCTGTGTAATAGTCCAACTAATTTCACTATTAGCATGTGAATAGTATTGATTAGTATTCAGAAGTTATATGGATGTTTCAAACCTAATAATGGATAGTGCTCTGAAAATTTGTTTCTGAGATGGTTCTTTGGAAATTAGAATCCATTTTTCCTTAGAAACATTGTTGTATATGAAGAAATAGTTTCCAAAAGCCGATTTAATTATAATGTAGCAGAATAGTGCTACTATACTGGGTCCTATAAAGTAAGTAGACAAAGCACTAGAAGCTCTCTTTTGTGGGAGGGGAAAGAGGAATTGAGCTTTATTTCAAACTCTTTGCAAATTTTGACGTTGGTAAAGTATACTTTTTATTCACTGCTATTTACAATTCTCCACCCTTCCTATATATCATCTACTTAGAGAGGTGGTAGTACTTGGTAGACTCATTGGAGAGTCATCTCCCAACTTTACTAAGCAATCTAGCATTCACATTTCTGTCAAGAGCTAGGCTGGATTAGAATCAGCCATAGATGCTTGTTTTAAATACAGATTTTTAAACTGCTTCCCAGAGATTATAATTCATTTATCTGGAGTAGGACACCAAAACCTTTTTTTTTTTTTTAAGGAAATGACATGGGATTGTGATGCATAACTAATAAAAATGCACTTTCAGGGCAAAAGTATTAGAAATTCAGAGACAGGAGCAGTTATAAGGGTGGCTTCTGTGATAGAATTATTATTTGTAACACAGGGAGTACCCGTACTTTATAGCATCTTCTTATATATGGTCTTCCATGTATTATTTTATATATGGTCTTATTATATATGGTCTTCCTTCTTCTCACTCTTTCTCTCTCTTGTTTTCTCCAAGATTACAATACTCAGACAAATTTGCAATTTTTTTTTTGTTATGCCTGACATCTCTATGTAACATTGAAGCTCACATTTCTTGTTTTTTAACTAACATGCATATTCTGTTTTTGAAATGTTAACCTCCCAGTTTTCTCTTGACAGTAGTGTCTTATGTTCGGTTGCCACTTACTGCATACCCTCAGTATACCATTGGCTCTATAGGAAGATGAAAATTCAGTCAGGGCACAGTTCCTGATTTTGAGGAGTCCTTCTTCTGTGATAGGAATATACTGGGGAACCAAACAAATGATTGTTATAGTCTAGTGGTAATTACTAATTCTAATTC